CATTTTTTTCTTGAGTAATAAAGTAGCATGAGGGGGTGACGGGAGGACGAAGAGGATAAAGGGCCAAAAGCTTACTTCCTCGTTTTGCCCAAGCTTAGCCCTGCCTACCATATCTCCCTGAGAGGGATAATACCAGAGCATTATCCACTTTGCTGCCAACTATGGCAAAGAAGGTTCAGAGAAGCCCCTAGTTCTGCTGCTACAGAATCACAGGGTTCTAAGACCTATGCAAACAAGGGAGGGGCCCTATGGTGTGGCTCTTTCCCCCCGGGCTCGGAAGCTTCCTGGGGTGACTCTAAAGTTATGTCCCTTCATGGTACACCTAGTCATTAGCCTGCCACTGGGGTGAGGAAGGAATAAAGGAAGGGGAGGTAACAAAGAAATGAGGCAGTAAGCTCTAGGTCAATGCTCTAAGCACCCTGCTTTCCATTCCACCAAGATTGCTTGTTTTTTCTCTGGGAAAATTGCTGCTGTATCCTTTGGAGCTCCAAGAAAGAGGGCAAGGATAATCCTGAAATACTGCTTAGGAAGAAAAGGGCAGGGAAAAAAAAAAAAGGCAAACAGAAGAGGGCTAAAGAAGAAAAAGAAGCGGTAAGGACTTGCGTGCTTAACCTGATACATTTTCAGATGCAGAGATGCAAGTTCCCATGATGCAGTCTGTCCTGAATGTTTGATTCTGGGCATGTTCTCTGACCAGTTTGGTAAAATCTCATTAATTTGCTTTCCACTAATTGGAAATTAGTGGTGCTCCAGATGTAGGGCTAGGCTGAAGATTACCTTTGTGCTATGAAAGATTTACTAAGCAGAATAACCATGTAAGCAAGATTGCATAAGGAAATGCTAACCTTCTTAAGGAAATTCTTTTGGGTACATTTTAAGCACAGATCTGCATATTTTTCCTCCTCCTCCATTTTCATTTTCATCTCAGCTACTCACTACCTGTGGTATCACTAAAAGAGCTCTGAATTTGAAGAGTGAGAAGATATGAATTTGAATCCCAAATCTAACATTGATAACAAGACCCAAGCAGATCAATTCACTTCTTTAAGATTCAATTTTCCTATCTGTAAACTAGGGAAAATAAGATTACCAGCACTAACTTCTCAAGGATGTGAACTTACAAGGAAAGCCCACTATAAGTCTTGGAGCATCCTGTCAATGTGAGCCTCTGCCTAGGTCATTTCCTACTGCAGTTATTCCAACCCTCGCTACTGTATTCAGACTCTAATCCTGCTCTCCCCTTTCAACAAAGTTCTATGGCTTTATCTGCTCCTGCCATGCACAAAGCAATAATGTTGAATGGCTCATCCACCCCCATCTTCATTTCCTCATATCTCTATTTATATATGTAGAAGGCAGCATGATGTCGTGGAAACAATCAAGGCACTACTCTTGGATCTTCCAGTAATTAACTATGTGAAGTTGGACAAGTCTTTTTAACTCTCTTGGTCTCAGTCTACTCATCTGTAAAAATGAAAGAGTTGGGCCAGATTATTGCTAAGATCTTTTCCAGTTCTAACAGCTTATAATTACATTCTTTATCTTCTTTATCTTCTTTTCCCTTCTTGTCATTCTCAGAAGAAGTCATCCACACAATTTAAAGGCATTTTCTCCACCCAGCTTCTTGGCCCAAGTCCTTCTGACATTATGGAGAGGGGAGGGGGCAGAGAAGGGAAATTATTTCATTATTTTCCCCCTTCTCAAATATCTTCAATCTCTCTGACATCAGTGGCCCCGTAGCTTCTGCTTTCAAACATACTCAGGCCTTCCCAATCTTGGGGAAAAAAAAAACAAACAAACCATTTCAATGATCCTCCTGAACTTTCTAGTCACTTACAGAAGCATTTTTCTTCCACATACTGTCTTCTCTATCTCCTATTCCCTACCAAACTTCTTAAACTAGTGAACCATATTTGAAGCTTCAGTTCCCTCACCACTCATTCCCTCTACCTTGTTACTCTAAAGTTCCTACCACAAGCCAGGTATTATAGAGCTGGAAGAAACTTCAGGTCATCAAGCTCAATGCCCTCATTTTACCAAGGAAGAAACTGAGGCCCAGTAAGGTTAACTTGTGCCTTGCACACAGTCAGTGCTTAGTAAGTGCTTGCAGATTGTCCAAGGTCATACAGATAAAAAGTGGCAGAGGCGGGAGGAGAACTCCATCCTCTGACTCCAATGCAACGTTCTTTCCATTGTCCTATTCTGCTCCTCTACTACTGACCACCTTCTCCTTGAAACTGTCATCTGTATGTTTACATGACACCAAAGACTCCTTGTCTGCTTTTCTTTTGATTTCTCAGATTTTTCCTTTTTAACTCCCATACTATAGGCATCCCCTACAGCTCAGTCTTTAGACCTCTGCTCTCTCAAGTCCTTGAGGTATCATCCTCTATCATACCTTCTACTTTCACCTCTAGCCTCATGACTCTCAATTCTGCTTTTTTCAGCTCAAATTCCAAACCCATATTTCCAAATGTCTGGGGCAGCTAGGTGGTCCAGTGGATGGAGGGCTGGACCTGGAGTAAGGAAGATCTGAGTTCAAATCCAGCCTCAGACACTTGCTGGGCAAGTCACTTAACCCCTATTTGCCTCAGTTCCTCATCTGTAAAATGGGAACATACTGGAGAAGGAAATGACAAATCACTTCAACATCTTTGCCAAGAAAACCCCAAGTAGGGTCACGAAGAGTCAGTCATGACTCAACAACAACAAGAACATTTCCAAATCCCTGATGGACATTTCCACACAGATGACTTCATTATCAACGTGTCTAAAATGGAAGTCATTACCTTCTTCCCTAAACCAGCTTTCCTTTCCACTTTCCTCACATCCACTGGTGGTATTGCCATTCTTCTAGAATCAAAATCTTGGAGTTACTTTCTATTCCTCTTTTTCTCCATGTTTCTCTACCAGTCACCAAGTCCTATCATTTCTCCTTCACAGTCTCTCTTATTCACCACTTTTCAAGCCATTTCTCCAGCTACCACCCTAGAATAGACCTCTCTCCCCCATCTAGGAATATGACAGGTCTCCTAATCTTGAGTCTCTGCTCCTCAAACAATCCTCTACTTCTAGGTTAATCATCTGGGAAAAAAAATGTCCATCATAATCCCCTCTCAGAATCCTACAATGACCAAATCCCTCAGTCTACCCTTTAAAAGTCTCCATAATCTGGCTCCACCTTAAATCCTGCTTTTCCTCAATACAAACCTTTTCCACAAGAGCCAGTACTAGTTACTTAATATTTACCACCAACCTACACACCACATTAATCATTGCTTCCATGCTTTTGCAAATGCTATTCATGTTTGCTAAAATACTCTGTTCTATCAAACTTCTACCTGTCCTTTCAGATTCAGCAAAAGTACCACTTCTACCAAGAAGCCTTCCCTGACTCCTCCAACTAATGGTGATCTTCACCTCTAAATCCTGATCCATTTCACCTCTAGCACACAACTAACTTTATTATATGTTGTCTCCTTCCCTAACTGTCTATCTGATGTTCTCCCAACTAGAGAATGAGTTCCTTATCACCAAGGATCATCTTTATTTCTGGTCTATCTCTACGTGGTTAGTAAATGCTCAATACCTGCTGACTGATTGCAAGAGTTAATAAGCATTTACAAATTATTCTCCTCTATTTTTAAATTCTGCTGCTGAAAAATGTCTGCTCCTCTTGTCAGCTTGGTTGGAGTTATTATATGCCATTGAAAGAGTAAAAATTGTATTTCTTCTAAAATATTCCATGAGTCAGACTTTTTACTGCTATAATTCACTTGAATTAGTAGAGCTTTATACTCAGTACTTAACCTCATCCTTCATTTTTGATACAGCATTCAAAGTACATGTTAACCTACATTTTTGGACATAGTCAAAGAAGAAATTTATTTTTGCTTGACTATATATATATATATATATATACCTATATATGTATACATATATATGTATATACACATTATGTAAATTTGATTTTTTGTTGTTTTTTTTCAGTAGGGGTGGGAGAAAGATAATCTTTTGCTAACTGAAAATGATACATTATATACACATGTGTATATACATACACACACATATATATGTGTATATACACACATGTACATGTCTGTGTGTGTGTGTGTATGGTTTTGGAGGAATTGGGGTTAAATGACTTACCCAGGGTCACACAACTAGTAAGTGTCTGAGACCAGATTTGAACTCTGGTCCTCCTTACATTAGGGGCAGTGCCCTATCCACTGTACCACCTAGCTACCCCAGCATACATACATTTTTTTAAAGTACATATTAACTACCTTCAGTTATAAAAATGGCATAAGGGGCTGGGGAGGGGTGAGGTCCTAGCAATAGGGGGCTTATAAATAATTCACTTTCTGGCTTATAGTCCTCGGAGGCCACATACACAAAGATTGACCCAAAGACACTTAAAGAAACCCTGTATTTCCCTACCTCATGGAAAATTTGGGCTGATACAGATATGGTCCTCGAATATAGAACGTTGTAAACAGAGGGGAGTGACAACTAAAGCCTGAAGCACCATCTCTTGGTCACAGGGTGATAAGGGGAAACATTCATTAAAATTCCTTGTCTTATTCATGTGGGTGGCAACTTTCCTCTTTGGTTTATCAGCTCTGCAAGCTATTAGAAAATTAAACTGCTACCTTTCATAAAGCATGGTATCATAGAGCAACAGACTAGAATGAGTATTAGAGATTGTCTAGCCCATCTCTCATTTTTCAGATTAGGAAACTGAGACCCAGAAAGTTTAGGTGACTTATCCCAGGTGAGAGTTAGGGTTAGGTTAAGTTGCAGAATCAAGATTTGAATCCAAGTCCAGCACTCCTTTCACACTGCTTCAGAAATTTATCCAATTTCTTTAGTCTAACTTGGCCTTTGAAGATACATTGAAATTTGAACATGATAGGGGCAGGGATGGGGATGGCAGATGAGATCTGAAACACTTAGAAGATAATAAAAGGGCATGAAGGATGTCAACAACGACAAATGACCTTACAGCACAAATTCAGGTCTCTCGGCCAGCTTCAGAGCTTCGTGCATCCCTGCAGCTGAAAGTTTCCGGTTGATATTCCTGTATCGGCACTGCAGCAGGTTGCGATAGGTGGTCCTCAGGTCTCGATTGAAGAAGGCATATATAAAAGGGTTAATGAGGGAGTTTGCATAGCCTAGCCACAGGAATGTTCTCTCCATCCACAAGGGGATGCAGCTACAGGAAGTCCCACAGATAAATGGTCTTGCTGTCGAGAGGATGAAAAACGGTAGCCAACATATAGTAAAGGCCCCGACAATAATCCCAAGGGTGGTGGCTGCTTTCTGCTCCCTTTTAAAGATGGAGATGTTTTTCCTCTCCTGTTTAAGGAGTCTGGAAAAATTGGCACACTCTTCGGGATCCTTGTGGAGCTTCACCATGCCATTGACTGAAATGACACCTTCGTTGTTTTCTTCAACCCGGGGAAACCCGGTAAATTTATGTTTAGCAGCACTTCTCTTGGCAGCCTTGTAAATCTGGTAGTACATGAAAAGCATCACAGACATGGGGATGTAAAATGCAACTGCAGTGGAATAAATTGTGTAGCCAAAATCCTGGCTGATTAAGCAAACTTTATCGTCATTAACATTCTGAGCCCAGCCAAAGAGAGGAGGTAAAGTGATCGAAGCAGAGAGAAGCCACACGGAAAGGATCATTTTGGCCATACATTTGCCATTCTGTCTCACCGGATATGTCAGGGGTCTTGTTATCCCTAGATACCTGGAAAAAAAAAATGCAAAGTTACTGTGTGAATGAATGGGTGCAGAAAGGAGAAATAAACATTATCCATTTCACATTATCTGTAAGACTCATACTCAACCAAACCAAATCCATTGGGCTCAAGGGTTTTCCCTTCATGCAGTATATGGGTCAGTCATGCTCTACAGTATCATTGTTATTGTCATTCGGTTGTTTTCAGTTGTGTACAACTCGTTGTGACTCCATTTGGAATTTTCTTGGCAGAGATAATGGAGCAGTTTGCCATTTCCTTCTCCAGCCCATTTTACAGATAAGAAAACCAAGGTAAATAGGATTGAGTGACTTGCCCAGAGTCACACAGCTAGTAAGTGTCTGAGGCCAGATTTGAACTCAGGATGATGAGTCTTTCTGACTCTAGGTCTGGCACTCTATCCACTGTGCCACCTAGTCTCTAAAAACACAGTAGAGTCTAATATAATTCTCTTTAAAACCTTAGTTTATATTGAATACATATGTTCTCTATATAGTTCTACGGTTCATATAGAGAGGTCTCTAGAGTTGATCTATGTGCACCAAGGTTTTCAAGATGATCATATTAAACCTTCACTTATTTCTTCAGTAGTTATATTGTCAGCTGCAGTGAATTCATTTTAACATCTTCATCTTTGGGGGTGAGATGAAAGCAATTTTGTTATCAGACCATATCAAACTTTCAAAACAGGAAAGAATAATAACTTGGAATTTCAGAAGATTCAGATCACAATGCTTAAGTCACACATGACAGTATATGTCAAATGGAACCTCTGAGGGTTACCCTAAGTTCTGAGGCTACCAATACAAAGGACACATCTCCAAAAATCTACTTTAAAAAAAAATCTTTATCAACTCTAACTGGATACTAAGTAAAATTTTAAAAAAAACTGCCGTCTCTGTCCTTAGGGATTTTATAGATTGCTAAAATAAAATAAAATAAACCTTCAGAAAATAAAAATGAATAAATATATACAATAATTCACCTTTGCCCAATTCAATTCCTTTATAGGTGTCTGGGTTTTGTTTTTTTTTTTTCCATCTTCCCTTGTATTAGTATTAGACATGGTAAGCTCCAATAATGCCACAACTGGTTTGAGAGTTGATTTGTTATTATGCTTCATTTCAAAATAAGGCAGAAGGAAAGCAGAGATAGTCCCCAACTTACAAACAGGTTAAATTCCCAAAGTTCACTTGTAAGATCTTATTTGGAACCTGGAACGTATTTTTCCCTAGAAACAATGGTATAAAAAGTGTCCCAGGTCAGCAGGGATTCTTAAACCATTTTTGTGTCATGAACCCCTTTAGAGCTATGATAAAGCTTGGATACCCCTTCTCAGAATAATGCTTATAAATACATAAAACAAAATACATGAAATACCAAAGAAAACCAATTCTATTGAAATACAGTTATAAGAATTTTTAAAAAGTAAGTTCCCAAACCCCAGGTTAAGAATCCCCAATTTAAACCCTAACATAGCTGAAATAACACACGTTTTCCATCACCCTCCCTGCCCCACACACAATAGGAGAAAATTTACTGTTGCAATACTAGTAAACAAAAGAGAAAACCAATAAAATTGCATAAATATTTTCATTTATCTTGAAATCTGTTACTCCAGGAAAATAAGATTTCATTAAATCCAATTAAAGGAGGATGAGGAGGTAGATGGAAGCTTACTTAAGTGGCAGTTCTGAAGGAGCCTTCTAGAAGCTTTCAAGGATGATGGCCCTGGTTCTGTTATATCTAATTTCAATTGAAAACTTATGACTTCCCTTTTCTTTGATACAGATGCATCACTAGATCTCTTTTCAAGCTTGCCAGCTATAGTTTGTGTCATTCTTGGCTCCTGAATGGAACAGGGGAAAGAACTGAAAAGGCAGAAAGATTTTCCTGAGGTAACAATGAAGACCGAGAAATAGAGGGGAAGGCAGAAGTTGGTTCCAGAGGATGGGTGTGCATGTGTGAAAAGAGATTACTGGAGGTGGAATTAACATGAGTTACGAGAGGTACAAGGCAGGGGAAAAAGAGAGTGTGCCTAACGCAAGAGCTCTCTGTGAGAAAGTAAAAACGGTGATGAAGATACAACAATCACTTCCCTGCACCAACCTCCAAACAATGCTATCAGCTCCCCAGGACAATTTGGTTGGTGGATCAGCACAAGCACTGAGAAGGAAAAGGAATCCACAGTCAGTTTTGTACCTTCCCAGAACTGAGTTCAAATGTGAGGACTTTAAATGGTTTCTTCTCTCTTTGGTTCTCTTGCCTAAACCCAGTTAAAAAAAAAAAAAGCTGAGGATATCTGAAGTTGTTAGATCTAGATGTTTAGTAGTTCCCTATGCTATAGACCCAGGTCACCCATAGTATTTAAATGATAATAGAGTTAATCAAAATGGAAATGAATATAATTAAAAAAAAATCCAGCAAAGTATATCAGCATACATTTCCAAAAACATACAAATTCACCCCCCTTCATTCCCAGGGTAGCTTGAGAAACAAGTTCTTCCAAGACTCACAGATCAGAAAGATGGAAGGCAGAGGGGGTGGGGGTTGGGGGTTGAAATCTCCAGTGAGACAGCCTTGATATTATTGATTGAAAACTGATCCTACTAGTATTTGCTACCCATCTCTCAGATTCTTAAGTCTCATATGGTTCCCAACTAAATTGGAATCAGACACTATTCATCCTCCTAGTCCTGGTCACCTCCATGCTGCCCCAAGTCTTTCCCTCCTCCTGGTCACAATTCTCAGAAGAGATCACCATTCTTCCTCTTCTTCTCAAGAAGTCTTCTACCAATGTAATCAACTTGCACCATTGATCAGTGGAACAGATTAAGTACCTAAGAGCCAGAAGCAATGTACATGATATTCAACAAATCCAAGGACAAGAACTATTTGGTGGAGAAGGGGGCAGCGGGGGGCTTACAATTTGACAAAACTCCTAGAAATTAATTAGCAAAGTAGCCTGGTAGAAATCAAATTTAGATTAATATTTCACATAGATACCATAACAAATTCCAAATGGATATACAACTTAAATATAAAATGTCATATCAATAAACAAAATAGATGAGGAGATACCCTTCACTACATTTCCATATCAAATGATAGTGGTGATAATGGATAATCTTTCTTTATTCCTGATCTTACTAGAAAGACCTCTAGTATTTCTCCATTAAAGATAAAGCTATAATTATCATTAAGATAGCTAATCATGCTTTATTCACATAATAGATTTAGATCCTACTTTGAGAGACTTTATATTGGGAAAAGTGTAACACCAGAATGACATTTCTTTTATTCCCTTGATGGAATTTACTAAGGTAGAATAAGTTATACTTTAAAAAATGAAGATAATGCTATATCTTGGTTTTAGATAGACATTTTTACCACTTACAAAATAGGCTTCATTTATTTCTATATCTTAAATTTTTTACATAAATAGATGCTGTATTTTATCAAGTTTTTTAATCTACATCTGTTGATATAATTTTGTGATTTTTAAAATTTTTGTTATTAATACAGTCTATTATATTTATCATTTTCTTGAAATTGAACCAAACCTATGTTCCCAGTATAACTCGAACCTAACATATACCACATACTATACAACTTAATATCTACTATATACTAATCACATATAACCAATTTAAACATGTAGTTGTTGCATCTTTGCTCATTTTTAATTCAATTGTTGCATGAATATTGATAAAGATATCGGTCAATAGTTTCCGTCTTTTCTCTATCTCCCCCTGGTTTAAATATCAAGACCATATTTTCTTTATAGAAGTTTAGTAGGGTGTCTTCTTTCTCTATTTTTAAAAGCAATGATGCAATTTCAGAGGTAATTGTTCTTTCAATTTTGGCAAGATTCACTTGTAAATCCATCTGGTCTTAGTCTTACTGAGTTTACTTTAGTTCATTTTTTTTTTCCTGAGACTGAGCTATTTAAATTCTCCATTTTTTTGTTTTACAATTTTGAGTGTTTAATATTTTTGTAAATAATTATTCATAACATTTGTTATCAACTCTTGGCACGTTCAACAAAATAGTTTCATATAATTTCCATGATTTCTTCTTCATATGTCATAAATTTTCATTTTATTTTTGAGTATGGTAATTTGGTTTTCCTTTCTTTTTATCAGATTGCTTAAGGTTTATCTATTTTATTAGTTTTTTTATGTTCTTGATTTATTTATCACTTCAATTTTTTTGCTTCATTTTTGTTTCTCTCTAATTTGATTTTCAGAATTTCTATTTTTGTGTGTAGTTGTAGATTTTTTTACTTGTTTTCTTATTCTTTTTTGCCCAATTCAATGCTCTGTTCTTTATCTCTAGAAAGCATTTGATAAGAATAGACATTTTTTCCCTAATAACTGCTTTGACTGCATCCCAAAAGTTTTAGTGTGTTTCATCATTAATAGTTTCTTCAATAAAATTATGTTACTTCTATAATTTGTTCTTTGACTTACAGTATCCTTTAGAATTATATTATTTAGCCTCTCTTTAAATTTGGATTTTTTGTTCAATTCCCATTATTGATTAAAATTTCTATTTCATTGCCTTTTAGTCAATAAAGAATATGTTTAATATTTCTACTCTACTACATTTAATGGGGCGTTTATGCCCTAACACATATTCAGTTTTTAACAGTAATGTGCATAGATGAGAAATATGAATATTCTTTGATTCCAATTCATTATTCACCAGAGATCTTGCACATCTAGCTTTTCTAAAATTCTATTCAATGTCTTAACTTCTCTCTTCATTTATCTTCTCAGTTACATTTATTTAGGTCTGTAAGGTGCTCATAGAAGTTCCCAACTATTTGAGTTTTCTGTCAATTTCTCACAGTAATTTAATTGGTTTTTCCATTCAGTACTTAGAAGCTATGTATGCCATTTGGAGCCTATATGTTAAGGATGATTTTATTTCATTATCAACAGTGACTTTAAACACAATCTAGTGCCCTGCTTATTTCTTTTAACCA